TATACTAAGTACAACACATTAGAAAGTTTGTTTAAAATAAGCTTCTTAAATGGTTGGTTTAGTTTTATTTTTATTTTTCATATCAACCAGATTCATCTTATTGAACCATCAATTAAAAATCCAGATAAATATGATCCAACAAAACCGATAAGAATAACTAAAACGAAATCGATTGAATGGGATATTGAACTTGCTCCATGTAAGTTAATTATTATACAATAAATAATTGACTTTTGTTTCGATTCATTGAAATAATCAAGTAATTATTAAATACAATTTAAATTGTAACCGATTTACTTGTATTGAAAATAAAGTTTGTAAGAGGAAAGTGATACCTTTAGGAGAAAACTAACTTGGTGATGGTAAATTCTATATTACTTTATAGCAGATGATCTAATGTATAGATTCTCATTTTCCAAATGTAATGTATGAATCGTTTGAGAGAATAAACACAGACACTTTCTCTAATTGGTGGGTTAGATGGTTGTAAAAAGAATTTTCGGAACAATAAATATGAGTGAATGATAGTGTTTTCAATGCCCCAAATGCCCTGGTACGTCCGAGGATAGCGAGTGTTAGCTCTCCCTCTCGAAACGATCTCACATGACCACGCGTATACAGCCACTCCATGGGAAGTCCTACTCACTGCCTTCTCGTGGCATTACTGTTGTTTGTGAAATTGAGGGGACAAAAAGTGAATGTCTGGAGCTTAAGACACAAAGGGTCTAACTAGAGGAGTTGGAAAACAATGATTCCAAAGTGATAGTGTACATAGGACCAAGTAGGAACAAATGGCGTAAGAATCAATTGTTTGTCAACAGCTACCATGTGAATGAATCTCCTGACGTTGCTCCACTACCTTTTGAATTAGGCCTTTAGGTGGAAGGCTCCAGTTGTGGCCGCCTAAGGAAACCACCTATCTTGGTTTGGGCACCCGAGCAGTGCCGTAGCCCACACACAAATCAAGTGACTTGTGTGGTGCATATGTATTCGATGTCCTTTGTACGAATTTTTATGTGTTCAAATAAATTAAAGTGTTTTCAATTAGATGTTTATCAAACTTTGATTTACCATACAGTAATATCTAAAAAATTGTTAAGCCAATGACAGTAATTTGTGAGACAGTGGTAACGGTAAAATAGATTACATAACGAAATATAATTAATAAAACGTATAGATTGATAGTGTACTAAGGGTGATAAGAATATCGAGTTCTTGAATCGATGTCTCACAATAGAAAATAGGTCAAAATATGGAAAAAATAGACAGAAGAATAATCAAGGTCAAAAGTTATGTAATAAGAAGTGTTGGAGTAATTAGATTGTAAGAAATATATACGAGAGAGGGTAAAGAAAAATAATCGGACAGAGGATATAAAACATAATACTAACGACGAAGATATACGATAGGTTGCTCTAAATGATTTAGTCTTATCTACCACACGATGACCGTCGACTAAGTGTGGTATAATCGGGCTACTTATTGGCTTTTTCTGGCCATTTTTGAACTATATAGTTAAATATTAGCTCATCCGTTGGTTGGGTTGTCTGGTAGTACCTTCTGTATAACTACTCCTGAAGGACCATCTGAAACTGTAAATACTCACTGATGAGGTACATTTGGGTAATTTATTTTGAATAGAGATCACTGGTCGACTAGAAAACGACTTTACATACTAGCTTTGTAAGATCATTTTAACAGATAACACATCGTTAGCTACATCTCCATTGAAGTGTACTTCAGGAAAATAGAGAGGTCTGTATTTGTAAATTTTTATTTCCTGAATAAATGATTTCTCAAGAAAGTTTTTCTGTCAGCCTATGTTGTTCAGTATGCCATCCTTATAGATTCCAAATCGTTGATAGTATCTGCTCTGTTTGTAAGATATCTAACCAGATTTATTTTGTACCGAATAAACGTAAAACTAAACAAGTGCGTAACTAGTACGCAAGGGAGCTGTATCTATGTACACTACCGCTTAACGAACCATCTTCCCGCCCGGTTAATGAGATATCGAGGGAATTTAATTAATTGTTGCATTCAATCTGACATGTGAATTTTTTTTATTTATATGAAATATGTCACATTGAGATTTATTTGTAATTCTCATGTAAGCGAACTGTAACTTTAATAAACGTTCATCAAGGTAAACCTCCTTGAAAACAATGCAATACAGTTGAAAATTTTCCAGAAAGCTCATAAATTAAACTTCAGATTTAGAGCATCTGAAACTCAGAAAGTTCTACACAGATGTTTTCCTAATTGTTAAGTGACATTAACACCGAATAATCTCGAAATTATACATACTCTTTTTGATCATACCACGAACGTGATAATATTCAGCCATTAGGTGCGAATGAGAATTTTTGTATTATTCAGACGACACACCTGACAGATGCAGAAGACAATGTGTGCCACGATAATACCTATAGTGAACGCGTAGTGAGAACACGTCAAAATGACTGGAATTCCACGCATGTGTTTTAGGAACTTTACCTAGATGAGCAGATACTTCATGTATATCATATGACTCAATAAACAATGTACAATATATTAGTTGAATTCATTGAGTTAATTGAATCCAGACCACCATGGAAAACCGGGAAACACTGGACGGATGTCTCGTCCTACTATGGGACTCCTCAGTAGTGCGCATCCACGACCCCACCCCGCAGGATTCGAACCTAGGAGTCATTGGTCTCGGGCGCGAACGTTTAACCTCTAGACCACTAAGCTGGCATCCAACTGACTCATGAATTCAACTACCAACTTACTATAATTTCTATAAAACTCCTCTGTGTACAATTTTCTCAAATATCATGTGTAGAATAAACACATTTCAAATAGTAAAATATTTCCACAAGCCACATCATCTAATGATTCGTATACTTTTTTCTTTCACAGACGAATCACGTGAACTAGTTTTAAAATATCTTGTCGAACATCCATCTATTAAAGATATTGACATTTCAACACTGGGAATATGATAATGTAAATGAGAAGAATGAAATAATGCAATAATAATCATATAAACAAATAAAATACCGCCTAGAAACTGTTTGTTTTGCAAAATTTTTTCTTACACTGAACATTATGTTCTAACTAAAACAAAACAAAAACTTTTATTAAACCTATTTGAATTTATCAATGGACATTTTTATATAATCCCTATCTAGTGGTGAGATAAATGATAAGTTATATAATCGTTATATATTAACGTTGATAGTATACACTATTGTTTTTCTTTTGTATAGAAAGAATTCTGTATTGCCATTTTTATTGCTTACTTTAATTTTCTGGTTAGCGTTTTTTTTATCGAGTTAGTTTTCTACGGGATGGGGACTCTAATCCCATGCCCAACCCTCCTCATTTATCCGGGCTTGGAACCGGCAGTAGCCCCCGGAGGGACTCCAGACGGAGTTATTTTTATTGCTTATATTATACAAATGTTTTTTTAATGTGGTGTGAAAACACCACTTACTTTACAGTGGATACATATATACAGTTGTATTGTAATCTGTGGTTAAGTGAACAGACATTACAATGTCTATTAGTTGATGTTCAATATTCACAAACAAATAGTAATAAGTTCATTTTTTGTATTACTTGTTTGAATAGTTCTATTGATGTTTAGGACTGCAATTGGCATATGTGAATCTTGTACAAATTGCCTTGATACTGTATTTAGTCACAAGCATTATAAGGTTGGAAAGATTGTGGCTAGCAATGGAATCCAGTTTGACGCGCTTTTCGTCTTAGTTTTGGACTGGTTAGCTGAATATACCTTCATCCTAGAGTTGATGTTCACTTTGGAGCTCTAATACTAGGTCCCATTGAGGTCGAAGTTACACTTTATTGATGAATGCTAACAAAAATACATAATCGGGATCATTGAAAATAGCAATCTTTGTCATGTTATATAGATCTTAGTAATGACTGGACTTTACAGACCAAATATGCAACGTGGTTACTAGACTAAGTGAATTCATAATTTACTTGATGGTAAGAGTAAGTCGCTAGGTAGCTCGTTGTCAATTTTTACAAGGCCTAACTAACTAGTCTGAATTCCAGAGATTGAGATATCAGTTTTGGATATATATTAGCTGGAGGTTTCTTATCGTTTACCTGACATAAACCCGAGTCAGTTGCCCTCTACTTTGACTCAGGTCATAAAATATATTCTAACTAATTAGGTTCACTCAAGAATAAGTAAGTCATTGAATTCTGGAATAGAAGTAGACATAGTAGGTTATTGAAATCACAATATTTTAAGAATTTACCACAAATTATATTATCCTACTTATATAAAATTATACAGTGAATAATAATCTAATCAATATTCTACATTTTTTCCAACTCCATAACATCATTCATTAGAACTGATATAATTATGTCGAAATTTGACCAAATAGTTTCACAGTATTTGGGCGTCGAGTTGATGTGAGTCATTAAAGAGGAGAATGTATCTTTAAAATATCAACGAATGAGTTTGAAGTAAATCCTAAGAAATACTCTTGTAGCTATAACAGCTGCTTTTTGTGAACGTGTCGAATTGTCTAGAGTCTTGACTTTTAAACGTTCTTCGATAAACATGATGGTTTAAACAACGTAGATTGAAAATTCGATAATTATACCAGTTGTACATTTTTACACAGACGGTTTAACGTGAAAAAAAATTAACTCATCTAAGTAAACAAATTTCCCAACTCGGTTTTGTTGTTGTTGCTTTCATTGAACACATAACTCATTCGTTTAAATATCCTAGTTTTAAGCAGTAAATTACTATTCACTTGGTATTCTTTTACTAGAATCTTCTCATTGATGTTTAAGACTGCAATTGATCAGTATCATATTGGCATATGTGCATACTGTGCGTATTGCCTTAATTTACAAACATTATAAGCAAAGATGGATAGTAACGAGTGGCTGACGAGTTCCAAATAGAACGAAACGCGCCACTATCCATCTTTGCTCAATAAATTACTATGTTTAAAAATATTCTCTCTAATTAATATACTTTAAACAACCAAATGATATCATTATCCTTTTTCAATTAACTAGCAACAAAATGTTTTCTGATTTTCAAAGAAAAAACGAAAACAAACAGATTCATTTAATTAATTACTTCAATCCAATGAAACATGTAAACCTATTCGACAGAAAAAAAAGGTGAGTAGTTGCAGTGTGAGTATGATGAACAGTTAAACAGATTAGGTTTCCACTTTGAATATAACTTTTACGAAAGAGGAAAAAGGAGAAATCAGAAAGAATACAACACAATACAAGAATCGTACACACAAAATTAAAGTGAAAAAAAGAGCACAATTAGAAAATAGAAAAGAAGGAATTCACAAAGAGAATAAAGGGAAACAGATATACAATATTGAAATAGATTTATAATGAAAATAATAATCCTTCCAATCAATTATATATCTATTCCAAAGTGTATATTTATATATCATTATCTATCTTATTCAAAATGATATAGAATCATTGAATTGAATTTACAAATAATAATAACAATAGAAAAGTAATAATTATGCAATATCTACACAAACACACACACACAAAAAGGATATTTATTTCAAAATGAAATGAAAACCAAAAGAATAAATTGACAGTTTTATAATCAAACTAAACCGAAACCTTCTGTTTGTTGAATAGCTAATGATAATTTCTTAGCTAATATCTCTTTACAACTATATTGGGGTAAATCTAATAGATTAGCACATGTATGTGCTACAGGTAGAAAATCATCACCACTATTATTTGGTTGAATTGTAATCTATAAGAAAAAAGAAATAATAATAACAACCGTATATTGTATTGTGGGATAATATTAAATATGAGAATGTATGTATATACACTAAAAGTGTTAAAAACTTAGTATAATACAGTAAGGCCGTATTAAACTGATATGTTTTATCAGAATGGGTTTTGTGGAGATTTTAGAAATTTCACAGATTGAAATCATGAGTCAGTTGAAGCTAGACCACCATTGAAAACCTGGAAGCACTGGACGGCCGTTTCATCCTATTATGGGACTCCTCAGCAGTGCGCATCCACGATCCCGCACCTAGCGGGATTCGAACCCAGGACCTACTGGCTTCGCGCGCGAGACTGATAGGTTCTGTATTCGAATCCCGCAAAGCAGAATCGTGGACGCGTACTGACGAGGAGTCCCATACTAAGATGAAACGGCCGCCCAGTGCTTCCAGGTTTTCAATGGTGGTCTAGCTTCAACTGACTCATGATTTCAATCTGTCATATGTTTTAATTGATTTTAAGATTAACCAACTAAATTGAAGCTTTTGTGAAAGAATTCTATATTACAATTAAGAATAATGAATTAATAAGGGGTTATTATAAATCAATTAGGGTAGAAATTATGGTGACCTAACGCTTTAATGATTCGATTCAAAAATCAGGAGTGAGTTATCTGAAATGGAGTTTTGAAATGGTACTAATATTTCACATTTGATATTTTAAATTTGATTGAAAGTGCTGTCACAGAGTGAACAATAAGAAAATTGTAACTTGAAACTATTCTATGAAGAATGATTGTTCATATTTTTTACTCGTCACAGCCAATCGAAGCGTACTAGAGGTCAAAGCATTCTACCTTAGACTTTGGGAAAGAAAGTATACTCGGAGTTGGAAGTTACAGATACAGTTTCTGATTTATGCATCGTTTCTGGACGTAGATTAGAAAGTGTAGTACAATCAGCACTGTGATGGAGAGCTCTTGAGAATTCATCAAAGTTTTTAGAAGCTCGCAAAAGCCTGAAGACACTATTCAATCAAAAAATAATAGACGTCTTGCAAGGGAATATGGGTAATAAATAATGTGTCAAATTCTGATTGTACACTTTTCAAAAGTCGAGAAGTTTAACAAGACTAATATTTTGCATAAAAGAGACAGAATATGGCTAGCAGCGGAATCAGGGCTGCGAATTTCTTTCTATTCGGAATTCGCCAGTTGAATGTACCTATATCCTATAGTTAGTGTTTATTTTGGCATTCGGTCTCAGTCAAACGATAACATTTTATCCTACTTAACTACTGGATTCAGACAGTCACTCATTTGTCGAGAACCTCTATACTACTAATAATTAACCATGTGTTCAGTAGTATCTAATTTCAATAAATAATAATTTCCAGATTTCTAGAGAAAGGCTAAAACCAATGGAGTTCAGCCATGTCAGCTGTGAAGCCATTTCCTACCAATAGAATTGGAAGATGACTACGTAATGTTACTGTTTGACTGAGGTTAGAAATGTAAATCCTTGGATACCGATTCTGTAAACAAAGGGTTAAATACCTAGCGTGAGGTCCGAAGGTGCTGAAGGAGATAGCATTATTTAAGAAAAGATCAGACAAAATAAATTACTAGAATATAATAGAAATGTAAACTAGTAAACATGAAATACATAATTTGACCTTCTAGTTATTTATGTTTTACACTGAAATATATTGCTTTATCGATATGAAGAGAGATATGCCAAGTTTTACTTCCTTCTAAAATAGTGAGAAACTATGTGTATCAGATATGACAAAATAAAAGTTAAAAATATGGAAAACATAGTTAGAAATAACAATCAAGTCTAGAATTAAAATTACATCTAATAAGTTATCATATTCTACACAATACACTGACCTTCACACCACTAAAACCAACAATTGGTACACGATCACAACCAGTAAGAAAACGTAAAAATTTCTTTTTCTCTTCAATAGTAAAATCATACAATAATACATCCCAGAACCATATGATCACTTGATGTCGATCCCAATATACACCTTGATATGTTGTATTCTGACGAAGTTCATCCCAGTTTACGACTTCTGAACCGACAACTAAAGACTATGGTGTAGAATAGAATAAAAAATGTTAGCAAAAACAGTTTATTAGATTGAATCAAAATGATAAGTAAAAATTGTGTAACAGATGTCTGAATCAATTTCTTAGAGAAAAAAAACCCAATTGTAAGTGAATTTTTATTTGATATTATGTCATAAAAAGCTTATGCTTACTGCAAAAGATTAGAGTGTTTATTACATTATCTGGTAATAAACTTGTGCAGAACAAATAGAGACTTCTTGGTAAACGTATACGCCATTTATGTAATCGGCCTTAAGTCATACTTTAAATCTGAATGCTAGTGATATTATCTGGCTATCACAACCGAAGTACATGGAGCACGACTTAACAACCTGAGATTTAATGATAGAAAGTAGAATGAATGAACTTCTAAACTGACGATTTATCAGATTAGATATGAAATATTAGTACTACGATATATTAATATGTAGATGAAGATAGAGCCCATTATGAATAGAATAAAGATCAGAGGAGAAACAAACCTGTAATTCAGATGGTTGAAACAATTTTAATGAATAACCACCACAAACTTGAAGAAATCCTTTTTCAAACGCTTTATAAGGTGTTTCACATGATTTCTGAAATACATATTCAACATATTTTTCAACGTATAAACTTTTATTCTCTTGAGTGACAATCATATTTTCACCATCTTCCATCAGGGGAATAATTTTATTGACACCAAAATAATCAATTGTAACCTAGGTGAATAGGCAAATGGATAGAAACTATTAAAACTAGTTAGTGCTTTGTACCGAATAGTATATTTTATGAGATTGAAAATCTATTTAATATAATATAAATGTTTGCATAGCTCTCGAATTCTACTAGAAGGTTAGTTAGTATTGATTGACAATGAAATTTAATATCAGACAGTCTAATAATACGTCTGAAATGGTCTGGGATAAAAGACTTGCTATGATAGTTAAAAAAACTATAATAATATTTGAAACCGTAGTTATTAGTAGAATTTAAGAAGTGCGTTTCGTCTTGCAAGAAAATCATTAGCTGAATATACCTGCACCTCGGTACTGATATTCTTACCCAATGTCAATAACCTTAAACCACAACGCGCTATTTACTAGGTTATTGAGTTATGCATGTTCTCGGTTGCGTTGTGGGCAAACGTTAGTTTGTAATTACAGAAAATAACTAGGTGTTCTGTCGATGAACTAACCTGCTAACAGAGACTGGACGAAATCCAGTTCTGAATATTAAAAAAACAAGAAAATATAAACGCTAATGAAATTGGTTTTTGGGGACATCAATAACTTACAGTGAAATTCAAACAGAACACATCAGCCAAATCCGCATTATCATAATCCAGTAATTGTTGTAAAGAACGACCAACAATTGGATCCAATTCTTTTAGATCATCTAATCCCGGTGTTTCACCTAGCAACTTACGAAACATCGCTAATGGAAAACTTAAATCAACAATAATGGAATTGTAAATAGCTAAACCACATAGGATACCGACCATTAGGAAGACATTTTCACTTTCCATTGTCTGAAGAGAAGTCAGAAAAGAAGAGTGCGGAGAAAAAAAATCAGTAGGCAAACCAACAAACTATTCACTAACACAAATTCATTCGTTTTATGCAATATATAATTACAATCAACAAACGCATATGATTTCTAAATGATATAATCGAACAGTGATTGAATAAACAATAGTGAACAGTTTCACAATTCAGAATTCGCTACATAAAATGGAATGTTGAATTTTGTGCAACTGTGTGTAATTCCGAGTTGTCCAATCAAACATGAGAAAAAAGTATACTGAAAATATGTCAACCAAAAATTAAGACCAATATAAAATGAATATGTTAGAAATTAGTTTGAATGGTACATAAATCTCAACGATAGAAAGCTGTATGTGGGACGTTACGAAATACTGTGTACGGATTATGCATATTAAGACTTAGTGAACTAAGTGTATTACTATTAACAAGTTGTGAAACGAATAAGCAACTAGAGTTCATCTCTGACGAAAAAGTACACTCGATGCTGTTTAGGCATGTAATTCAATTATCAATAAATACAGTAATAATGATGTAACTCATTTACTAAAAATGATTTATATACTTGACTTGAAGCCATATTGTTTAATGAAATAGATAAAGCGCAATCTAAACATACAATTTATTCATTGATAACCAAATGCTTTGAGCGATTCAACTGAAAATTCAAGGTATCATAATGTAAGGATAATTCACACAATAGGCTGCTTCACAGGATAAAATGAGTAGAGATTTTGAGAAAATAATAGAATGATCGTTTTTAAAGAAACGAAAAAACTCCAACTTACCGATTCACTAAACCATAACATTCGAGATTCTGAGTAACAACGAAACATTCCATACACAGGATTGAGTAAATCTCGCATAACTAATAAGAAAAATTCCTTGAAGAGATATAAAAAACAACAACAGTAAAAGTAATATTTCCATGTATATAAACATAATCAAGATAAAATATTTGGCTGAATAAGGTACCGGATAAAAAATAATTTACAAAGACACAGAATGATTATAGTTTCGATGGATATATATCTCATGATAGGGACCACTACTCGATCCTCAGACCTAGAGTTCTAGTCCACAAGATAGAGGAACAATGTTGGGATATCCAGTCCTACGGTAGCCGATGACCACATGCCGTTTGTTACCTTAGAACCCTGGAGCCTGCGTGCAATATTGGTTTGGATTCAGGGTCTTCTGACTTCCATAGGTGGATCCTCCATACCCACAAACCCAGTAAAAACAACGGACATCTGGCTTTCTTTGCCTCAATTCCGTAAACAACAACCCTGCTTCAAGAAGGAATGAGTAGGATTTCGCTGGCAGTGGGTATATACGTGTGGTCATGTGATAGCATTTCGAGGGGACACCCCACATCCCCAGCCGTACGAGGACGTTTGGAGGTCTTGTAGTAAGCTCATTCAACTATTGTATTATTTATCTGCTCACCGTAATTTAGACACTTGATCCACCATGTAATTTTCTGTGTGAGTATGATTGAGCACATCAATTTTTAATCTATTCTCACATTGGTTGTAATACACAGACAATCAATAATTTATCCATACTTGATTAACTCTCATAAATATATATGGATTTTTAACACACAAACACATACTCTTGTTTTCCCTGTGTGCTTGCGGATTTCACCAATCTTTAACAATAAACTATCTCTAGAAGTGGTGTTCAGGCTTTTAAATAATCTCGCGTAAATCCATAATTCTACTAGGAGATTTAACCTGCATTAAATACGCAGTTAATAGGATACTATTTATTGAAGTCAGATATAGAGGATACTAGCCTTTACAGTCCCATGATAATATTAAATAGTTCTAATGACTTCAGGAGACACTCCTGGAGTTCTGGTGAGAAGTCGTTACCAGTGGAGTTCAACCAGGTCTGTTGTGAGATAGGAACTCACTGAAGACAATGTTGTACGGTGGCGCAACTTCGTGGATTGGTTGAAGTTAGACATTAACACCGTCGGATGCCGGCTCAGTGGTCTAATGGTTAAGTGCTCGCGCGCGAAGCCAGTAGGTCGTGGGTTCGAATCCCGCGAGGGGCTGGTTCGTGGATGCGCACTTTTGAGGAGTCCCACACTAGGACGAAACGGCCGTCCAGTGCTTCCAGGTTTTTCATGGTGGTCTAGCTTCAATTGGCTCATGATTTCAACTTGTGAAATTTCTAAAAATCTCCACAAAACCCATTCTGATAATTTATAATATAAATTTTATGTTTGGAAAATGAAAAATCATTAACATTTTGACAATGATTGACTTCTTACTATCATCAGTATTACTTACTTTCATTACACCACCTTCATCTACCGCTTCTTCATTTTCGAATTTCACCTGAAATAGAAACAAAAAAAGAAAAGAGAGAAAACGAAGTTATTTATTTTAAAAGCTTGATGAGACTATATATATTGAATTTTATAAATTACAATATGAAAAATTACAAAGTACAAACATATTTGAAGCGAGAACTGTTAGGGTTTAGTCAGTTCTCGGGAAAAAAAATAAGCAAATCAGACAATAGACATTAGTTTACAATGATGAGTTTCAGATAAAGAAAAGTAATTCATTTAGATTTCTTGTTAGACAGTTAACACTTGAAATTGAATTTTAATTACAAGTATGATAACTAAACATTGAAATAACATTTGAATAAGTTTTTACGCCGGTGATTTTTTAAAATACTAAAATCCTAAGTACTATGATTGAATTTGAAGAAAATGTGAAAAACAAACACAATTCATATGAATTCAGACTAAAATTTCAAGTGATTCATCTTTAGATGGGTTTATGAATTAGGGTTTTGACGGTTAAAATAATAATAATAATAATAATAATAATAATAATAATAATAATAACGACGTAAAACGTTAGACGTAATTGATAGACTTAGTTAATGATATAAGAAACAACTTTCTGAGTAATAGCTTGATTGATATAATATTGGAAATTTCTGGGATTATTAATAATCTGGCATTGAAACCAGTTTAGCTGAGATCAGTAAACAAACATGTATCAACTAAAAGTTTATTTTCACTGACAGATATTGAATTAAAATTCGTTCATTTGATATATTCCCTTTATTCATGATGAATTTTGTATGATTCCATCAAATTTGGAACTTGTCCGATATTTCATTAAATATGTGTAATTATTGATGACAGAATTGTTCTTGTTTATAATCAAAACTTAATTGATCAGTTGCTATTAGGGTATATAAATAACCCAATAATTTATTGATTCACACATTGATTACAGACTTTAATCGTGACCAAGCACCGATTAAATTCAGAATGTATAGTACTATTTTATTTTCTAATTGTAATATATAACATTTTTTTTAAAACAATCGAAATCATAAACACAGGGCTAATTTTCCAGTATGAACATTAAACTAGATTACGGTTATTATCCAGTCGATAAGATCCACACACACACACACATACAAAAAGTGAAACACATAAAGTAAATTCTTATTCAATACCATACCATTATCAAAGTGTATACAATCATTATTACTAATGAAAAAATAACAAACCTGGTTATATGTAACAAAAAATTGTGGTTTATTTGATTTCGTCCGCATCATTTCACTTAAAAGAAATAAAAACCTACCCCCCCCTGTTTTTTTTTATTAAACAATAATTATATTGACGTAAATGGATAAGGTTTGAAAAAAAAAGAGAAGTGAAGAATAATTCAGTTATCGACAAGAATTTTCGACAACAACATAAGATAATCAAATTTATTTGTTCATTATAAGAAGAAACTCAGTTGTTGTTGTTGTCTTTTCCTAGAAAAAAAATCATTATTTGGTTTTCCACTAATAATTTATAATCAAAAAAAGAATGATTATTTTATTACAAGTTTATATTAGTCATAAAAAAACTATGAGAAACCTTGATGAATAAAAATGATTCAATTGATAGGGAAATTTATAAGTTGTAGCAAGTTGAAGATTATAATGAAATGATTCGGTCTTAAGTAGATGAACCCAATGTGATAGCAGTAGTAATAATAGGACATGGATGTCTTAATGATTCAGTCTAGTTGAACTGGTTGAAACGACTGTTTTTTTTTGGTTCGCTCCAACTATGCCAGGAGGATCGGTTGCAGAGCAAAAATACTGAAAGCAGCAACTTAAGGTTTGAACCAGAAGGGATACTGATGATTGTATAAGGACATGATCACAGGAAGTTGTTACATCAGATAAACAGCACTTCTAACGATGCTGATTCCTCAAAACGTAAGAGGTTTTAAAAAAACATCAGACCTTAAAACAACACACCACATTTCATGCTCAGGGATTCTAGTTATCAGAAGCACTTTAAAATGCTTCAAGAATATCTTATGAATAAGCCATTTTTGATCAGTCTCAAGGAGTTGTCCCTTAGCCACTGCGATCAAACACCCAACTCGTCAAGAACTCTACTAATCCAGTTTTGTTTCAGGTGTCCCTAGAAGAAGTATCCATCCACGATATAAGAGACTGTCCAAATATCTCCAACGCTATTGATCGAAACCGGATCGCTTTAATTCATCCCAGACAAATTAAAGCCCTGGCCATTGTTAGAGGGAAATGAAATAATTAATACATTTTTTGACGGTTTGTGAATAAATGGAGCCGATGTTAATAACATAACTCAATATACGATGTATTGTTTCAAACATTGACAAATTATCATTCTATCACTTTATAATTTCACAACTTTGAATATAACTGAATAGTTGAACAAGCATATATAAATAGTGAATAATATGTATCGCTGATCCAACCTTATATTTTCACGAGACTTCTCAAAACATACTGTAAAATGAATTAACAACATCAACCCAAGTTAAGTTATGAAAGTCAAGTGATGTATGTACGTCATACATACAAAACATAGACACTGATAGAAACAACAGGGTTGTGACATATCAGTGAGTGAGGCGCCAGGAACCGTGATTTACAACATGAGTATGCAGATATTATTTAACAATTATTAAAACTTAGATCACAAACCCATAGCACAAAGCAAACAAAACACAAATATGTCAACAGAAACCAGAGAAGAGAATTATACACAATTACAAACCCTAAGTAACTTCTTGAAGTCAGCTGGATTAGCCATTGTCAAATTAGAAAGTGTATCTTGAAGAATATTGTCACGTCTAACAATAATGGTGAAGTACGGTGATGTTGTACCGCCATCATACAAACGTGAACCAATAAATGGTGAGAGTAAACTTTGAAAAATGGCAGACTGTTGCGCTTGTGACATAGCTTGTTGCATTGTTAAACGAGCTTCAATGTTAAGCATTTCAGCTTTGGATGCAGCGTCAAATACAAATGGATAATCGCAGAATGAAAAGAAACGCTGTTTGATAATGGAAAAAAACAAGTTAACGGAAAAATTATAATAAAATCAAACAATAATTTAACTGTCAGTATGTGGTTGTAGAAACTATTAAATGTTATTGAACTTATGAACCGACCACCATTTGAAACCAGGAAGCAATGGAAGGTCATTTCGTCCAAGCATGGAACTGCTCAGCACTGCACGCCTAAGTCCTTGCACGCGAGAATCAAGCCGTTGAATGTAAATCTAAATGGATTAAAGGTCAAGCGTTCGCGTGCGAGGTCGAAGTTCCTGGGTTCGATTACTGATTACGAGGTAGAACGTGCAGGTCTAGAGTTTGATCTCTGATAGAGCAGTTCTTTCTGATCCTCATTAGTTATCTAACACAGGTCAGTTAGGGGTCCCAATAGAAAATGTTTAACATATACAGCACTTTTTAAACAATTAATTCTTCGCTGTTCGAGGTATTCAATGTTCAGTAGTTCGATCATAAGTTGAGACAAAACCCCAAATTTAAAGGTCTTGACTTTAAAGTAGTGTCTTGTCTTTAACATAATCGACAATATTAATGCAGGAAGATTTATGATGGTCGTTTAATACCCTTAACTTCTAAACATATGCTTACTAAAAAACATCGGTTTCATTCATAGGGAAGTTGTAAGACTATACTGATGCGAGGTTACATACTAAAAAAGGATGCTGATTTCTACTTGATTAAGCGGTCATCTACCTAAAGTTAGTTCACAAAGTAACAAACAAAATTGTTAGTCTCCAGATCGAATAAACAAGTAGTTCTTTCTATTACAATAATTACTTAAGTTCTGACTTATCAGAATCATGTGAGTCGGGTATTATGTATAACTAAGCTCTATGTATTTACATAAGCAACTTACTTAAGTAACAATATGACGTTTTTCCACTTAGTCACTCTTATCGTTGCAAGTTTTATCGTCTTCACATCACTTCAGTGCCCCTCCTATATGAACATTTCGAATTTCGGGAACAAAGATGGGTTGCAGAGGTATTGGTAAATAGGCAGGGGAATGAAGCATGGTGAATGCCCCCGAAGCATCAGGAAAAAAACTAAGCAATCTCCTATTCAAATGTCATAAATAAACATCAGACTAACTTAAGATGATGGTCATTTACATATCATTCGAATGAATTTTAGTTTATTAATGTCTAATAACTAACAACCGCTTATTTGGTATAAATAACACGTAATTAATTTATTAATTAATATAGATGATGAAATTCAAATGTCATCTACTTACCATTCCACCGGAATTACATTCTTGTAACCAATTTACGAATGCGCTTCCTATATTAATTTTATCTTTTAACGATGGGAGATAAAAACTATTATAAGAGATTGGATTGGGATGATTTTCATTAACCTAAATATAATTTTCAAAGAATATACATAGAGTATTTTGCTTTATAAGTGAAATAACGTGAATTGATTGATATGCAAACAAATTAAATATAATTCAGTTTTAATAACTGAGTAATCACGCCTCGTTTACACTCAGTCTGACTTGCGTTGAATAGTAACACTAATCGTCACACACATAAACACTAAAAGACGAAGTTATATTTTTCAGTGAATAAGATTAAACTGAGTTACTCATTTGCACATAGTGTCCTAAATGTAGCTTAAATTTGGATGAATAAACTTACTTCAGTGTTCTACAGTTAATTTTAACAGAGAGAGAAGCATTTCAACAATGCTATAAGAATGTTAATAAAGACGTGTTTGATGAAAAGTAGGTACAGATACACAAACCTCGCACAACCTATGAAAAGATAAGTCTGACTATCAAATAAAGAGTATACTGTGAAACAGTTTGCTGTTTCACTCTACAGCACTAAAATATGGTTTTTAAAGATTGAGGTTACCAGTGTTTGATGATAGATGTTTTCAAAGCAATGCTTGCGAATGATGTAATAACCGAGTAAGGAATAGTGAAAATAGATGTGATGATGTGAAGAGAGAAACAAAGAGTCAATGAGAAACAACGGAAGCGATTCCAGGGAAAATTGTTTCACATATTTGGCATACATTTAGTTTTGTCCCTGGTTTATACTATCTGTTTATTCATGTTTCTATTTTCGTTGGTCCGAAAAGGAATAAAACGAGTGACATTCCAACCACTTTCTTTTTTCTCTCTCGCTTGTCAACAAATCAGATGATAAGGCAGTTTTTATCTGTCTCCCCCCCCAAGGGCGTTTGGTCACAAATTGAACTCACGCATTAAAGATGAACTAAATAGCCTATCGTGTCAAGGCTTTAAACTGGATCAAGACAAATTTTCCCCTATACATTAGTAGGGAGACGAACCGAGGGTATAACAAGAGGGTACTGGGTTGATGAAGCTATAAATCTATCATCTGAAGTGGTTACGGTATATATTTTATTTATCTCCTATATCGAGGAACAAGACAGTCTGGCTCAAGTTGCATGAGAGCTAAAGGCGGCTAACTCAAGACTCAGGATTCAGCCCATCAGGTTATTTATTGTCAGTCTGAGTTATGTTCACATGTATAGACTACCTGGTTTTGATTGACCAATTCACATCTGAAAGTAATTAAATTGAAAGTTAAACTCCTCATTAAAAAAACAGTAGCTGAACGAGAGCTGCTTACAACTCAGTAGTTGAGAGAAAGCTTACAAGAGATCTGTTATGATGTTTACAATCTCAATCATCAAGATACATGTCAAAAGTATTTATTTATTTCAACACATAGATAATGGTACAAAGAGGCACCAAATACATATGCGCCACACAAATCTCATTCGATATGTGTGAGGGCTGTGATACTGCCCGGGTGCCCAAACCGAAGCAGGTGGTTTTCTTAGGGGGCCACACCCCGAGCCTTCGACCTGAAGGTCTGATCCACAAGGCAGTGGAGCATCGTAAGGAGATGCAGTCCCATGGAAGCCGGTGATCAACAATTGGTTCATTCGCCATTTGTCCCCGCAGGATACTGGAGCCCATGTGCACCATTGATTTGGAATCCGGTTAAAGCGCCGGACATTCGCTTTTCGTCCTCTCATTTTCGTAAACAACACCCCCGCCACGAGAAGGCAGTGAGTAGGACTTCCCTGGCAGAGGCTATATACGCGTGGCCGTGTGAGAGTATTTCGAGAGGGAGAGCGGACTCTCCCCACACTCGGCCGTACCAGGGCATTTGGGGGTTGTTTGAAAGAGAGTTCATATGTTGGCTTTATCTATCCTGTGATTTGCTGTTTAACCATTTTGTCGCATTAAATTGTTATGAATATTTGTTTACAAAGAATATACACTGAACAATTGTACTATATTTCGCTACATTATAAAGGACCGATCTTTCACTCTTTTCTGTTGTGTTCATCAGTGTAAGTAAAGTTGACCTAGTGTTGTAATCGTGGTACAACAGTAAATATTTGGTGAGTGTAACCAGGACATTAGCATCTGCATCTTAACCTCCTAAACGGTAAAATATAGGAATTTAAGCAGATAATCCACTTGGAGGTATAAGATGATAGATGATCGAATAAAATCAGATACTCATCAACACAAACTGTGATTCATGGTTTATTCATCGTCCGCTCATCCAGTCGTCGAATAGTCAGATCGCAGGCCGTTAAATCAAACTGACGAATAGCAAAAAACATTCTTCCATTGATGTTTATTTGACAGGATAGCATAGCATTTTCATGAATATTCTATCATTTATATTTAAAACTGCTAGTGGGCGGCCTATGTTCCTTCATGAAGGGTAACAGGCGTAGGTAAGTATGTTTAAAACGATATCCGAATGAATAATGAACTAAACATCAAACACAATAAATGTACACTTTTATCGAAAAACTACTAAGATACGAACATAAACATAATAAATACATTACACAAATATTTACTCGATGTAAACGTTTCATAAATTCCAATGCTTGACGAATACTTTCTTCTTTTAATTTACGCTATAAAAGAAATAAAACTACATGTAATTCTCTTATTATCAATTTGATCATACTATCAGGCAAAAAAGCAAACCGATGATAGAATCTGATATTGCGTAGTTTAATTCAAAGAAAGATTAGTTTTTATTATTTTCACCCGATAAACTACATACATATAAATCATGTTAAATGAATATCAGACAAAGTAGAAACTACTCTTTTGCAAAATATGCATAACATTGGAACAGTAAAAAAGAATTTAGTTGTGAAACATAAAAAAGGGAAGAAACTGAAAAAAGGAGGAATATGAGGTCAGAATGGAGAATTTTTAGTGTGTGAGGAAGAGTTAGATTTATGAGATTTATTTCTAGACCTTTTTCGTTTTGGATTCAAGTTCAAAAAATTTATGGGAACTAAGAATTCACGTAAACAACTTATCAAAATGCTAAACGTCGAATTTTGAGTAAAACTATTAAGTAGTTATGTACCTCGGTTCAACTTAGCACAACATAGCAGGACATCAAGAAGAAATAATCAAAAAGAAATAGTAGAGTAGTGAAAGTAGTAACAGTTTCATTGATATTAAGAAATATTAAGGATAGATACTACTATTTGAGAACAGGATGAATTTACGTAATAAAACAGAAATTATTATTATTTCAAAACTAAAGATCTAATGAAGAGTGAAGGGTGTATACATTTACTCGATTATGATCGATTCTGAACCATACCATACAACATCTACATTTACTCATTGTGATAATTACATGTACTTTAACCAGCTAGTCTACATTAATTAATATGACTAAGCCAATAATAAGATGGACTGATTTGGCGTTTTGGTTTTACTTTGGTTGGACATAAGTAATACATATCCTAACTACGGAGGTGGTTGAATATACATTACTTCATCAAACAATTTGTCATTTTTACCTAGTGGTCTGTGTATAACCTTATTACTACTCACTCAATGATCCCAACACAAACGAACAACTAAACATTATAAAACAAAAATCTAAATATCAGTTTGTCAGTAGTTAACCAACTTACTTGACTGTACGCTGAAGCTGGTTGCATGTCCAATATATATGAAATTAAATTATTCAAATTCTATATAGTTAGGACAAAAAAAAACAATCAGCAAACTACCTTTTATAACAGATAATTGTAAGAATGTCAATAGTAATAAACTGATTTATATACCGTTATTACGTGGTTCATAAACTTCGTGTAATGATGAAATTATTTACCAAACTTAAATTCATGATACGGTGTAAATAAACTGTGATTATATTGGCTTATATAAGAAAAACTAAAACACAATACACAATAACCCGTTACAATTTGAACTAGTTATTGTCTTCAAATAGCAAATGTTTCAATCGAAAAATAAGTTTTCCAGTAAAATCTGTTGAATTAATTGTAAATGAACATATTGATAAATGAAGCCAAGTCTATTGAGTCAATGCTTAATATGGTGAATACTATTCAATATGAGTGTTTTAAATTACAAAGATAACTGTGGTGCATATATATGTGATGAAGAACAATACTAAAAAGGTATATGTGGATTTATCCACTATGAAATAATAGTAGTCTAAGTGAACATGTTATTAAAAAAAAACACGAGAAAACTGACATTTATTTGCAATCTGTTTGTGCTCTTAGGTTTGTTTACTTTTATATTGTTGTACATTATTATTATAAGTACTAAGTAACGCGATTGAGATCGCTTCTACCCAGATCATTCATTTGTAAACTTGATGTTTCAGATCTCTTACAAAAGACAAGTAATGATTTCTAACAGATGCTTGAATTTCTTAACAGCTTTGTGAGAAATATTCTAACAGACTACTCTATGAGTTATGTCTTTTCAAATACAGTATTCTTAAATGTTTCTTTCATTTATATGTTACAATCCTTTTTGCAACACCTTAATCATACCTATAAACCAGTAAAGTTTTAGTAATTATTCACGAAATATTAATTTATTTATAATATAGAAAACAGAAGTATGAAGGTGAACATCAATACACTGACTGAAAGATATTCTCATCTGAACATAAGTGATGTAAACTTTAGTATTTAAAGTTCATTTTACAAAGTCAACACAAAATTAGCCAAACTTCGAGTAAACAAAACAGATATCAGAAGCTTAAAACTGCTATTACATCTAAAATATTCTTCAGTCTTCACTCTTGCCATGTACTCTTTGTAAGTAAATCGGCTTACTACTTATTCGTAAATAAGTAGTTACACGCAAATGTCAAACTTTTAGTGCGATGGTATACCTTATTGTAAAATAATTCCTTTTTATATTTATTTATGCCTTACTTTGCGAATTGAAACAGCAATTCTTTTCCTACAGTTATTCGATATTTAGGTTCACGCTATTTTTTGAGGTTTTGTTCGGTCTGAACAACCTGATTATTTTATGTTCGCTTAGTTGCTTGGTATTCGATACAATTACATACTGATTTTGTTATTGATAATGCTACTTGGAATTTCACTTAATTGAAGGACGTGATTTCCTGTTGGTTTTGATTCGGCAGTGTAACAGATCCAGATGTTGATTTACGATTTAAAACTTTGTAAATTCATAGTGTTTAATCCACTTTTAAACATTTCACTATACTTATGAATAAATTTCTTTTTTTTAAATACGTCTAAATCAACTTCTACAACTTTATAAGCACATATGCCAATAAGAGACTGATCAATTTCAGTCCTAAACATCAATGGCAAGATTCAAGTAAGACAATGCCAAGTGAATTAAACTTTTACGACTGTTCATTTAAACAAATATATGATACAATGGAGAGAAAAAAATACATACCAGAACTAATTTTTTCAAATAACGTGGTTGCATTTTTGTAAACCACCGATCTGTAAATAAAAGATGTGACAGAAATATTTGCTGAGTATTATAGAACACAGTCGAATGTAAAAGACAACTGACAAGAATCTATCTCTGTAGTAGTAACATATGCATATACTAATCACTAATTCGAAAGGAATACTTTTCACAAATGTTTTAAATAAATTAATTCAAAGTAGTTATTTATGTTATCATAAATAAGCTGGGGACAGCGTTATATCCGCACGAAAAGTAAATGAATGGTAACTGCTATGAATTATTTATGGACCATTATTATAAATATTCCTATTGGATAACTATGAAGGAACTAGATTATATATATATATATTCGTATTACTTTGATCTATTGGTTACTGCAATACGATCTACCATTCTTAACTTATTCCTTAACTCACAGCCACTTTTAACTTGATTTTGTATAGTCATTAATTTTATGGTGTCATACGATCTGATTTGATTGTATAAAACCACGTATGTTTGAAATATACGAGGTTGAGATTGTTTTATCGACTCAATGTGCAGGGCTAGAAGAGAAGGGCCAATAAGGATTCAGAGTTAATACAAGGCTGCTAGTGCTGTTTTGACGTGTCATTGGCTTGGCACAAGAACAAGGTCATATAAGTCGGTATTTGGTTTGGCGATTTTGTCACGTCAAGATTAACAGCGTAAAAGTCATAACACACAGAGAAACGAAAACATAGCATCAGTTAACAAAGTCATTGACAATTAGAATGAGCCATGCTAATAGGTACAAACAGCCTGATTGGGTTTATTATTGTAACCAGTGGTTAGAGACCTTGCATGAGATGACTTGAAATCGTCTACAGTGGAGTTGGGCCATGGAACTGTTTTTTACTTCACCAATTTATATTTTCTTCAGTCGTATCTTCGATGCTTAATCTTCTCTATTGATATTATTACTGCCACTACTACTAATACCACACTAGGATTTATCTTGACAATTTCATTTCGCTGTATTAATGGAGGGTGACGAATTGGGCTGATGTACATAAATACCGGGTTCTCCGTCGCGTTTGACTGACTGAAGTATTCTTTTTACAAAAGAAGACAACTAACAAATCTGATTAAGTTAATCTTTGCAAAAGGTCGCACATATGAGTGAATGAAACAATGAAATCAAATCACTTATGTATTTCTTCACAAGAAATTATATCGAAACAGTGAATATTGCTTTTGTTTGCATAAAACCAAACGTTTTAGTTTGCGCCGACCTACATAGAACATTCCGGTAAGTAGCATATTACAATCAACGATATCTTCATACTTTCATTTTATGAGGCTTCAATGATATTTCTTTCTGAATATTTTAAACAAAGGCGAAATGTTCTCAAAAGATACCTACGATCAAATACATACATCCTTAGGTTATCATTTTCGATATATGCTATACAGTTAAAACTGCCAAATCAAATTAAAATGGCTGAGTAGCAAGTTATACAATTTTGAGCAAACTGACCATTTACCTTCTCAGTTGGGTGAATATACCTCTATATGTATGCTGTGGGATACATGAGTGAAAACTTGTGCACTATTAGTGTGCATCCCAATTATTTTGCTCACAACGTAAGTATACCTATGTGTATACCAAGGGATGCATGGCTGATAACGTATGTGTTCCAGGTATGAATGTAGACCGTACTTTCCCCTGGTGCGACGCTTGCGTGCCAAGACCCAGGAATCCAAACGATATACCTACCTGATAGAATCTTGCACAGTACGTTACTCACAGTGACCAAGGATTGTAAAATCCTATCTACTGGTTTACCTGCATTAAAACATAAATATTTTAAATAGATATTGATGTGAACAGAGTTTTGAATACAACTTACACAGTAATCGATAAGTAAAATACATTTAAAAAAAGCCATTCAATGGTTAATTAATTTGTCAAGAAAACAGAAACGATTCACATGGATACATGTAAAATGTCAATGAGGAAAAACTGAATTACCTAATATTTTTGAAGGCGCTGGATCAAGTCTGTTGATAGCAACTGAATAAGCATTCAAAACTAAACCAGGAGTAGAAAATCCTGCGCTCAGAACAGGATACGGTTCAAAATTTGTATTCATTTCTGAAGTTATATCCATTTTGTTCACGTCAGGGACTGCTTCGTCTATAATTGGTTTTCGAGGCATATTTAGTAAATCAGATACAGCGAGAAACATTAGACCTCGGAGACATTCAATACTAGGATAGTTAAGACGTGATATTGACAAAACATTATCCAATAGTTTGTTTATCAAGCGTTTTAAATCTCTTTTCGGTAGAATATGAAAAATTTGTGACTGCAATGTACAAGCTAAGTCTAAATCTACACCGTGTTCCTCTCGGCCTGTTTTAAAATGACTGTTTGGCTCCCTAAAATGAGCAAGAAGTAAAAATATTTTAAAAAGTATATACAAAACGGTAAATTAAGTATTTATTTTATACTACTAATAAAATAGACTACAATATATACAGTGAAGTATTATCAAATAGAGTTTGAAGGATTCCAACAATAAATGATAGATGTAAAACGTTATCGATAACGTTAAAAATACATTATTGAAACGTAACTTTTTTCCTTTAACAGAATGTTGAATTACAAAACTTTGAAATGCTGTTATTTTGATGGTGAATAGTATAAAGAGTTCATTTTTTAATGATCTCTAAAATGTTTCCATTTACTATTTATCCCTAACAAAACCGGTTTATAAATATAAGGATTTATGGTACCATTTCCTAATTAGGAATTAATATTTTCTAAAATACGGAATAGCTCCAAAAATCATTCTATAATTAAAAAAAAAACACTTATGAAAATGTTCTTCTCGGTCAAGTCATTTACCGAATATGCACAATTGTATTTACCATTCCTTATGACACGTCACAGTTTAGTATAAAAATAAATAGACATGTCGTCATCAAATAAGTGATCAAATATTCAAGTATTTAATAATAATAATTCAGGTGATAACAAAACATTAAGGTGAAAATAGTTTAGGGGATAAAACGTTTGAAAGGTAATTCCGTTTAATTCATGTTAAGGACTAGTGTTTTTGATATGATGAACGAATTTTCGGCTCTCAGGTTGGAAGAAAAAATGTTAATCAATAGATGATATACAGCAGGACAACGCATCACTTGATGATTCTGAAGAAAATAACATAAGGTTATAAAAACTTGTGGTTAAAAAAGTAGGGTTAGATTCGAAGAACGTTGAGGTTTGAAACCATGCATTATGAAACACTTCCGCTGTGTACAAGTATTTAACCCCCTCTCTCTTAGAGGTAGTATCTTAAACCTTGTTTGAAGTTGTAAAAGACAATTCTATTGGGGATATGTGAGCAGATTTGACGGTGTTCAGGAATTAAGGCGTCTGTTGATCAATATTCCTATGATACAGCAAGGAAAAGTAATGCTTACAGATTAACCTGAAAAAATTATGTATTTAAAGCTAATAAAGCGTACGTCACAAAAGTGAGGAAATCGATAAGTAAACAGTGGAGCAGACTGTGATAGTTTATCCACAAAGAATTCGAAAACACGATAGAAACTAGGGAATAAAAACTGAAGCTCAGTTGAGTAAAAGGTCTATCTATTAGTAATTTTTACAGTCCTGCTTCAGTATCTAAGATTATCATTAAGTTAAAAGGATAGAGCACAGTTTAGTTCAATGTCATTATCACTCTACAGTGATTGCAATTTCTATCTGATATTTATAAACTTATGATAATTTAGAATGCTTACTTTTCTTCAAGACAACTTGCTGATAAACAACCTAAAGACGAATATACAGATTCAACCTTTGAAACAATTGCCATTGGTTCATTTGATGTAGAACTGAGAGATGTTAATGGACGAGATGAAGAAAGTGATATACATCGAGAAATTGGAGGTGGAAGTGCTAGTGCAGTATGAGCACTTCTAAGTTGTTCCACAATTTCAGGACAAACAGTAAGAATGGATTGTAATGATGAACGATTCCAATTGCGCAAATCATCAGCATCCACAATTTCACCAGTCTGAAAGAAAAATATGGGATTAATTAATAACAGCCTATCTATAAAAGTAACAGGAACTATTATATATAAAAACTATTAATTCGTAAATCATTCTCGATATAGAACTTTAATATTTATTTATGAAAACATATAAACACTGGTACAAGGACGCACCAAATATATATGAGCCACACTTCGTCATTCAATTTGTGTGAAGGCTGGAATACTGCCCGAGTGCCCAAACCAAAGCAGGTGGTTTTCTTAGATGGCCACATTTCGAGCCTTTGGCCTAGAGATCTAATATATAAGGCAGTGAGGTAACGATAGGTCATTTGTCCTCTCGAAATCATGGAGCCCATATGCACCATTGGTTTGGAATTAGGGTTTTCCAACTACCTTGGCTTGGTTCTCTGTATTCACTAACTCAGTTACAGCACCGGACATTGGCTTTTCGCCCTCTCGATTTCGTAAACAACACCCCCGCCGAGAGAAGTCAGTATGATATGATGGAAAGAAAAATCAATTTTCGATTGATTTACTTATTATGAGTTTTGTTCAACATTATTACTTCTGTTTTGATTTAATGTAATGATTACTCAATGTAGTATTCGGTTTTCTTTTCTTGTATGATATTTTCTTCTGTATAATATGCGATATTCTTGTATTCGATTGACATGAACTATGCTCAGTATGTGATTTGTTATAACTTTATGTATTTTTCATATATGTGATTTCATCCTAATTATTAATCAAAAATGGGTGTACAATCAATATATGAATGAGTGTATTTTCGACTAGAGTCGTCGTGTTTTGGCATTAATAAATCATCACTTATACCAGTCTTTGTGTCCTTACTTTCGCGTCATGGGAATTGCATAGGTCCCTCGTTCCGAGTATAAGTGATAAGCGTTTCCGATACAACAATCAGCGACGAACAGATACAAAACGTAGCATTAAAAGAGCCAAGACAATAAGCATTCAAACGACAAATTATAACAGAGTGGGTATCTTGAAGTACAATATGATAATAATAATAATAATAATATAATTTAATCAACTCATCCACCAGGTACTTGAACTACATTCTATGTGTGAAGGATGATGATACTATTCGGTTGCTCAAACCAAAGTAGGTGGAGCAAAGTTCAAACCTTAGTGGCTGAAAATCAAACCACCTTAACCACTAAACTATAGCTACACGTTGAAAATGCATAATGTATGTTGATTGATTTAACTATCTGTAATATATATGAAACGAACCCATATGTACAACAACATTGTACAGATTGAAGATCAACGTGTTGAACATAGCAAGGTATAAAAAGAGTATTCCTTCGCCTATTCTCTACTAAACTATGTGATTATTTCACCTTTTAAAAACACTATTTTTCAAGTGGTTAGTGTATATTAATATGCTGTACTGTTAATTCAACTCATTTAATCGTATTCAAGGTCCTTGTATTTGATTTTGTAGCATATTTAAGGTTATTTATGAGTGTATGACTTAGTGATACTATATTACTGCTTAAATAGACCTAAGTGAACTTGAGGTTTAAATATGTGACTTAACAGATGATCAATGTTTCTTTATTATTGAACTATGGAACATTATGCACTAATACAAATTGACATAATTCTACAATTTAATGTCATATCTTTATAGGTAAATACCCACACCTTTCTGTTTATAATTAAAAGTAAGATAATAAATTGTATAGTTTGTCAATACTTGATTATGGGATCTTTATAAGAAGCCGGTTCTTTAATTCAAACTCCAAGTTCTTTATTTACATGATTTCATAATCTTATTCCAATTACCGAAATTTACTCAATTACTTCGTCATTTGTGTTCACTCAATATCTTCTATGTAACGCGACTTTATCTTAGGATTAGTAGTTTTACTATCTAGGTGCTAAAACTAAGGTCGGTTGAACGAAGTTTGAATTTGGGACATAAGAGTTGATAACTGAATGTCTTGATTGCTGAACCAACTCATCCATAAATGTAGCTCATATTCTGATAAAGAAGTTTATATTCAATGATTAAACTTTATACTATTCTGAATTCTACTGAGTATACAAACGGCTACTACAGTGTAGGGGTATATTTGATAAATACGTTAAGGAAGTGGTATATTTGCACAATGGTTGAGTTGTTTGACTTCAAACAACTTAGTCGGAACACTACCCTGTCTAAGTTGGTTTAGGCCACAGTCGCGTAGAATTAGTATCAATCGCAATTATGTAGTGACTTGAAAACAAGTACACGAGTCTGTCTGGAGTTCGTAAAGAATGTTCAAACAAACATTAACGTATTGTAAATAAGTTAATATATTTGTAATATCCTAATAAGTAGAGAAACTAGATTTTCTGACGTTTCGTGACTCAGTGTAAGCCACTTCTTTAGAGAATAAACTACCAAATAAAAAATTAATCCAAGTTTAAATAGTACAAAGGAACAACACAAGAATATTATGTGCAATCAATAAAAAAACACGTCCGAACAAGTCAATGTCATGTCGTTCCGGTCAAGGAGATTTATAAGCGACGCGTATGTAAATTTGTGTGTATGTGTGCAAGGTTAGGTATGAAAAAATGTGACGTTTGTGGTGAGAAAGGATAGAGTTTAATTTGTAAGATAATAGTGTGAATTGTGAGTAATATCAGACATGGTAGCTAGGATATATAGTTCAAGTTGGATGTATAGTAAGACCTTCTTTTCTACTGAGAGCAGTAGGATTAAGCATCATATGGAAAGCTTCAGCTACTCTCCTTTCTTTGTAGTTGGAAAAACCTTTTGTAATATTTCGATGTTTAATGTTCAGCGATATATTTCAGAATTGATCACATTAACATTGTATTGTATACTACAATTAAACACATAAACATTGGTACAAGGAGGCACCAAATATATATGAGCCACACTTCGTCATTCAATTTGTGTGAGGGTTGGAATACTGCCCGAGTGCTCGAAGCAAAGCACGTGATTTTCTTAGATGACCACATCTCGAGCATTTAGCCTAGAGATCTAATCTACAAGGCAGTGAGGCAACGATGGAAGATGCAGTCCCATGGTAGCTTGGATGGAGTATTTTCTAAAATCAAGTCAGTCATAATTATTGCAGAGAGTCCGACATGAAAGTGCATCGACCCAAGTTGTCACAACATATTAAAGGAAGTATAAGATGAACAGCAGAGTAGCTGGAATGATGAATGTCAATGATACCATAAAGAATGTAGCTAGAATAGAAGGAATGAATTTGAGGAAACAAAATATTAGCAATAATATTAAAAAGCACGAAGAATGTATACATATGTGCCACTAGGACCGATTTTTGATTAACTCATCTACACTCTTCCTAGTAATCACGAATATCGTAATAGCAAAGACCCAAACAAGACAGACTGAGTTTGTCAACACAGTTCGGAATAATAGTGAATAACTTTATAGGCTCACGTCTTGCTTTGTTCGCCAAAAATTTCCTCCAACTTACTCCTAAACCACTCATTATTGTGCTACAAAGAAGAAAATTCAGAAAAATTCTTTGACACTCAATATGAATAAGAGATCAAAGTAAAAACACATTGAATTGAATCACCTTGAAATGAAAAACGAATGGAGAGAAAAAACATGAGCACATTGCTTACTTGATACATTTGAGCTAACAAATAAGTATGATCACCACCGGAGAATATTCGTCGAATTACATAAGGTTTACTGGAAGAAGAATCGGTACCAACAGTAGACTCTTTACTATTCAAGTTATGAGATGAAACCCAGTGTCCTTGAGGAGGGACAGAACAAAAAAAGAAATAATGCGCGTGGACTCAATACAATCAGTCACTCTGGTAATAATGAGACAATAACGAAGCCTGATAGCTAGGCATTAATTCGATTAAAAGGTGAATGACCAATAGTACCCGTATCCACTAATCGTTTGATTGTTAAATGACTTTTATTCATGTTCATCATTGGGTTTAATTTTTGTACATAAGTGTATTGTTTCGTTAGAAGAGGAAAGTTCTTATTCTGAGCAGTTATTCTATGTTTTGATATCTACTTAATCGAAGGGAGAGACGCGTAGCGTTATGTTAGTAATAATTCAGTTTCGTGAGTAGTTATCACTAGAGGACATTATATGACTGCATACTACCATTGATCCATTCACTCGACAAGCGATAAACATCGCATTCAAAACTGTCCGAAACTAATTCAATATATGCTCTTTTTCCCTTCCTCTCTTTCTATCACTCGGAAAAAACAGCGAATTTACAAAGAAACAGTCAGAAAAAGCACATAGAGTATCATGAAGTGATAATTACCTTTAATTGGACAAGGTAATAAACGATTTGTTGTATCGCCCATACCAAGTTGTGCATTAGCGCCTTGACCAAATGCAAATAATCGACCAGTTTTGGGAACTAGCGCCAATGTATGAAATCGACCACAAGCTATTTGAGTGACAACATTACCCATAAATTCAGTAATTTTACGTGGTACAGATATGCCGATAGTTGATTCGTTATGACCTAGTTGACCATATCTAAAAAAATAAAAATAAAAAAACACCGAATGACATTGGAACAAGGAATTTTAAAAGAGGTAAGTAGGGCAGAAAATAAACCAGGTAAAAATAATCCTAAAAATGTTCAATGTTTAAGAAATAAAGACACTGACTGTTTTACTCATTTTAAGTTAGTCGAAATATAACATAATGTAGTAACTTATCTCGGATACTTGTATATGACATCGATTATAACATGAATACTTCAGATAATTAGTGTTAGTTTGATTATACAAAAGACATTTACGATCAACAAATTACAATAACATTTGTAGTGATCAATCACTCTGAACTTACCAGTACACAGATTGATTTACAATAGAAGTGGATAATGATCACAAATTGACTGAAGTCGGGAATATGAACCATTGTATGTCAGAGTTTAGTAGTAACATGGCATGACGGTATCGGATTCAAACCCTGAAGGGTTTGTGAGGTGGGCATTATTGAAGAGTCCTGTACTAAGAAAACACAGCTGGTTTCTACTAGATATCTAACTGAAGTAAGTCCATGATTTAATTGTCGACAAATTAGGTGGTTGAAAATGTTACGTCATATGCATGAAAATCGATTTAACTAGTGAATATTCATTGCGTACATAGTTTTAACCATAAGATATCTTATTACGTCATACATATTAGATGTAAGTCTTAGTACTGAATGTGAATTAAATATTCAGATCATGCTATTATTAGCATCAATAAATACGAGTGAAATAGACTATTCTTTATACTCTGTTCATATACTGGTCTTTCATATCAAATCTGTTTGAAAAGCAATAAACTATAGTTTCAGAATAAATAATATAGTCACATCTCTAGAATTTAATTTGAAAAAAAGGGAAATAATTACAATATTTATGATACATAAGTTTTGAGAAGATTGAATTTAATCTGTAAATGATACCCATCATAAATTAACCTCAGTCACGGTATTCACCAGTTCCATTGATCTTCGATTTGATCTTTTTGATGGGTATCTTTCTTCGGGTTTTTAAATGGTACCCCGAAATCAGTTGATAACGAATACCATCTTCAAGTTACTGAATCTTTTGTGGATGTGTACATACACATTAGATAATATTCTAATTAAATATGATTCTGTTAATGAAATTTTCCATTTTATTCATCATTTACTCTTAGAGATTATTTCATCATTCATAATAATTTTTTTTAAAATAATAACATTTAATACACATGAGTTCCTTGTTAATTTTTCAAATTTTCTTTTGTTATTCGATTAGAGAAAACTACAATTTTCCAAACAACGAAGTGTTTGAATATTATTCAGTTAAAGTACAGAACCAGGGTGAAATTTACTTATACTTCAACATTAAAAGGTTACAAATTATTGATTGATTTCAAAAGAATTTCATTTTTCTAATTTTTCTTTCTTTCTAATGAATTCAAAATAAGACGTTACCAAGTAGACAAGAGTAAATAAGGTTTTTGATTGAGATCATGAACCACCGTGTTTTCAGGTTTCCAACGGTTGTCTAACATCAATCAGTTTATTTAGTGATGTCAAAACTTCTTAGTCACAGCGTATTGTCATCTAATTGTTAGATCAGTAAATACTGCATACCCAGGATAGCTCATTTCATGATATTGAGTTATACTCTCTTACAATTCAGATGCATGTAGCTAGGAAAGATTGTGGTTTTGATAGCGTAAATTAGTAAAGAATCAACTATTGGGCCTTTGAGAAACTGGGTATTCTGCAGAATAAGTTTTACAATTATTGATAGCGGCAATTTAGAAAAATCTTTAACAATCATTTATGAGCAGAAACACACTAATTAAGGCCTCAAAAATTTTTTTATCAACAATTCCTTCAAAATAATAATAATCTATGAAGGTATGATCACGGAAAATCCAACCACGAACCTGCCAGCACCGAAAGTGAAAACACCGCCATCTCGAGTAAGTGCAACTGTATGTGCTTCACCACAAGCCAAATAAACAATTTCACAACCCCGTAAGGTTTTCACAAAAGTTGGAATGGATACATTACTTAGACTTGTATCAAGGAGTGAAAATGGACGGTCTTTCGATTGTTCATCATCAACACTGGTACTACCAACCGAACCATACGTTGATGTCAATTCATTTTGATGATCCTTTGGTGAAGAGCCAAAATATGATAAGCCAAGTTGACCATAATTGTTAGATCCCCAAGCATAAAGCGAACCACTGACAGTTAGAACAAAACTATGCCAACCACCTGCAATTATACGACGGACAGGTAAACCGGAAAGACATAGAATTTGTTGTGGTATTGATATCGATTGTTCTGAACTAAAACCTAAACCTAATTGGCCTTTAAGATTGGAACCGAATGAGAATACACGAGCAGTATCTGTTAAGACAAGTGTGTGTTCTACACCTAAGCTAACCTACAAAAAAAATTAGAAAAATACGTGTTTACATTTTCTGAAATATTATAAAATAGTGTTATTGATAATAGATAATGACAAAATTACAAAGAGATTGACATTTAAATATTGATTTTATGTAGAGACGACCGGTAGTTATTAGCAACAAAAGTGATGAGTTTAAAAATAAAACAAAAGGAAGATGGAGAAAATAGAAATAAAACACTTATCGTTACCTAGTGCATACCATCAACTAAGTATAGGTTTATGTACTCAGAATTCTATATGGTGCCACAACTTTTGTGAAATGATAACATAGTGGTTAAGGCATTTGACTTTCAGCCACTAAGTTGCCGGTTCAAACTCCACTTTACCTACTTCGGTTTAGGTAACTGCATAGTATCACTAGTCCTAACACTTAGAGCGTGGCTATAAGCTGAGTACATAAATATGCACCAGATAATGTTTTCAGAGACAAATGTGTTTGCAAAGTTTAATAAAAATACCCAGCTGCTTAAATCAAATAAAGATGGAAGAATTTGACCTCGCAGCTAGTGATTATAAAGTATCATTATTTTATATGAAAAAGCATAGACCTACGCAATAGGAAATACCACCAACTTCTGTAAACTATATAACGAAAGATTGTGAAAAGGAACTTATTGAAAACAGATATTCTTTGTTTTTTATACTTATCGAGGACAATTTAATGTTAGTAGTGTGTTCTCTAAGCCAGATGATTTAATTTTGAGGTCTCTAGAAGTCTCTAGAGGTCTCTAGCTAGCATTTGTGGAGCTTACCCTGGTTCAGAGGTTCAACGTTTCTCCAATCGAATTCATATCCATGTTCGTCTGAATGCTTTGGTATAGTTCCTTAGTTAGCAAATCTAAGTTATGTTCAGGATGATGAACAAATTTATAAGTGATCAGAACCATAAATTGGTACAAAAACATGATAATATGCATATATTCGAAAATCTCAAGTTTCGATCAAGCAAAGTTAAAAGTGAAGATTAGAAGTACTGTGAATTGCTAATGTCTGTATTTAATAGTGAAAGGCATTGTGGTCTAAACTCTGCGCTCGTTGACAAGTATTTTGAACAGCCATATGTATAACGAATTCTTAAAAAGTAAAAATGTACACGAATAGGTAGCAAGTTTACGTTGCCTTTGGAAAGTATCACGACCAAAAACTTTTCGTGTGATGTTTGTCAGTGTAGGAGGTGGTGACAGAAAATTGGCAGAAACCAAACTAGAACGTAGCACAAGTCCATGAATCCTTCGACTGGTGGACTGGGCCGCGTTGGTAGGTGTAGACTACATTGTTGTCATCCTCCGAGTTATCGTAACCAATAGTTGAAAATGTTGGGTAACATAGCTCACAATTGGTCACAGTAGTACCGATACATTTACTTTAACTTATATTCGGTTTATTTCGCGAATTCACTCTTTCTTTTCAAAACACATCGTCTACGTCGAATTATTTTTACCACTGCTGATATCGTTGCTAGTTCTCTGGTATTTGTATTGATGATTTTATCCTTCTATCTGTGTTGACAATGTACATATATCCTGTGGACTATTAATTTGATCGTATAGTTGCCACTTTTTCTTTGACAATTTATCATGTTTATATATATTTTACTACACAAGAAATTTATTCATCTGTCCAGTAGTCTTGTCTTTAACTTTTAATCATTTGACAGTTTGATACAGTCTCATAAGCAGCTATTACTCGGCAACACTTTACATGTCATCGATTTCATCTACTGATCAATATTCTATTCATTGATCATAACAACCAAAGATTTTGTCTCATCAATCAATGAAAACTCCCACTATAACATTAAAATTCCCTTACCCTCATATATATATATATATATATATATATATATATATATATATATATATATATATATATATAGAACTGGATTTCCCAACTTATTAAGTAAAATTCGAATTTTACAAATATTTTAATATATTATTGCTTTATATAATCAAATGCAAAATAGTGCGCATTTTTTAAAATCTGCTTAAATGATGATAAGTCCCAAAATGCGCTGGTACGGTCGAGGGTGAGGAGTTCACTCTTCCTCTCAAAATGCTTTCACATATACAGCTACAGTCAACCAGGTCCTCCTTACTGCTTTCTCGTGATGTGGGTGTTTACGAAACTGAGGGAACAAACGGTGTATGAGACTATTATTCGTCACCGGTTACCATGGGACATTGTTCCAATGCCTTTAGACCTATAGATTAAATGCTCGAGGTGTGGCCACCTAAGAAAGTCACATGCTTCGGTTTGGTCTCCCAAGCAGTATTCTAGCCCCTATACAAATTGAATTATGAAGTGTGTCGCATATATATTTGGTGCCTTCTTGTATCAATGTTTATGTGTTTAAATAAATTAATGATAAGAAGCTATGAAGAAAAAGTAGGGAATCTTGACAATTTAATGTTAATTATGCGACTAAAATGAATAAATTTAATATTGTAGGACAAGAGAACAAGTGAATTATACTTTGACTAATTCACATTAAATTACTTATAATCACATTAAGAACAACAATAAAAAACAACCAGGTGAATACAGAACTAGTTAGTGTGTTTAAATGTAAATCTCATGACAAAATTTCAGTCAATCAGTTAGTTACAACGTAGGATCAGGCACATACATGCATCGGTCCAAGTTGCTGACAAAATTTAATGATACAAATTATATTTAATATAGAAAATATACAGTATGCATTGAAACATTTCTTTAACAATAAAACTCAATCAAAAGAGTAAATCATTTTAATGCCACTAGTTTGTTTATTTCTTTTTGAAGTTGTAAACAACTTCCAATCGATTTATATTTACAGAGAAGTGTAGATTCCAAAAACTTGTACTACATAAGAAAGATCAGGAAAATTAGTTTACGTGTTTATTTAACTTTTTTTCTTTGTGGAATAATTCGTCTCTAGTACTACTTCAGTTAAAAGACAAATACACAGCGTAACAGTTCGTTCTGTTTTACTTAACGGCTGGGAAACGTGACTATTAAGGGTAGAGGATACTCGTAAGTTACTAGTATTTGATCACAGATGTCTTGAAAATATTACCAGCATCTTCTGGGTAAGTAATAGTGAGATTATTATTATTTTAACACGTGGATATCGGTACAAGGAGGCACCAAATACATATGCGCCACACAAATCTCATTCGATATGTGTGAGGGTTGTGATACTGCCCGGGTGCTCGAACCGAAGCAGGTGGTTTTGTTAGGGAGCCACTCCCCGAACTTTTGACCTAAAGGTCTGATCCACAAGGCAGTGGAGCATCGTAAGGAGATGCAGTCCCATGGTAGCCAATGACCAACGATTGGTTCATACACCATTTGTTCCCGCAGGATACTGGAGCTCATGTGTACCATTGGTTTGGAATCCGGTTAAAGCGCCGGACATTCGCTTTTCGTCCTCTCAATTTCGTAAACAACACCCCCGCCACGAAAAGGCAGTGAGTAGGACTTCCCTGGCAGAGGCTGTATACGTGTGGACGTGTGAGAGCATTTCGAGAGGGAGGGCGGGTCCACCCCACTCACGGCCATACCAAGGCATTTGGGGGCAATAGTGAACGGCACAAACCCATCCTGTAGACCTTTGTTAATACACACTATGGAATAGTATGTATATCTGATTCTTACAGAACGTTTTACAAATATGAAAGAGTGAATTTTACATCACTTGCTCTCTCAAAAATCATAAAATAAATTTTGTGCATAAGGTTGAAGAATTACTCAGTCAGTCAGTCTATTAAACATACACACTATTAAACACAAGGTATTAGGGAATGATGATAAATCAGTTGATGAGGTTGTGAATCTTTATTGACTGAGATGGTCGAACCACGTATTACGCATGCCCAATCACAAGCTATCACGGCACACAATAATGGCTAGTGTTGGAAACGGATGGAAGAAAGATAGGAGAGGCTAAACCAAAACGTGGCATCAATTCACAAAGTCACTAACTTCTGATCTGAGCCATGTTGGTAGATGCAGTTAAGCCGTTCAACTTTTTTTCACCAAAATGTGGGTTCACAACTTACTACACTTACCTCAATTTTGCTAACCGGGTAGTTATTACTAAGTCTTACATTTATAATACTAAAGTATGGCTCAAAGTCAAGTACACAAATTTTCAGCTATTAAGTGAGTGTTTCTGTCTTTTTTTAAATTCAAGGTCTATTGGTTTGGATTATCCCGTTGTTGATATTTTTAATGAAAATTGATCAGTCTTGATCAGTACACGTGTACCCTGTGAGGATTGCCCCCATAATAGAGCTAATATGCAGAATATGAACTTGTATCGTAACAGGATACACATATGTTCTTGATCCTAAGTTGTAGCTGACTGACCGAATTCATCCTTCCAAACCTTATTCTCAGTATTCAGTCTTTCTCATTATCACAGTTGCTACATTATTTCTATTCCTTTGTTATTCATCTTATCATGTTGAAGTGGTATGCTTAATATATATTTGTGCCAGACTGTGTGAGTTCAATTAACAAGAAAGCCTCTCTGTCATTACAGATTTATTTTTCAGTTATAAACCTTTTGATTAGGATGTACAGCCACCATTTATTAGAAAATAATCAATTTGAATATATATCCCAAGAAGAATGTCACCATACAGCTCAGAATTCGTATTTCACGTTTCAGTTTAAGCCGGACTAAAACTAATTTACAGTGGAATATCCTATTATACAAAATGGTACTGTTTATAAATTCGTCGATACTCATGTTTTCTCTTTCAAGCTTGTTCATTATCCATGTATAATACATGATTGAGAATGTCGAGTGACATGATCCGCAATCATTCATAAAGGTGTAGATCTACTTTCCAATAAATCCTAAGTTGGATGTCATTTCAAAATGCTCATTTTTCTATTTCATCCACTTTCTTCCAAAATAGATTTTTCATAGTTTTCTCTTGCAGGTGATATTATCTCATATCTCTTGCTCGGCATTTTGTTAATTTTATCCTTTGTTGTGCTAATGTTAGGTTTCACAATTAGAACTTGCGTACATTTGTGCATGGTTCTAAGCTGACAGTGTAGTAAGTAGTCAAACATAACAAATTGTATACGTAAAAACCAACCTGAACAACTTTATGATCCGATAGTGCTCGAACTAGCTTAACTCCTGTGTCATCTCCTTCACGACCAAGTTGTCCATTGGAGTTGCAGCCCCAAGTAAATAAAAGTCCATTATAAGTAATGGCAGCATTATGGTATGCTCCACAAGCTACGCTTATTATTCTGTAGTGTTCTAAAGCAACTACCTGAAGACGAAGCAAAAAATCAAAATATCATTTAGTCTTGATATGTAAGAATAACCGATTGTAAGCAAGGTAGACTAATCTACCTCCATAACATAAGTGTAACAATCTATTAGTCTTAACATTATATTAACCAGGCTAAAAAGTGTCATTTATTAACATATATGGGATCAACACTTACAGTGCCTCATAGCACATATTTTAAAGGACTAAACCGATATTTATCCCCACTAATAGTATTGAAGCAATACGTGATGTACGATAAGCATATTCTTTTGATTTTATGGACTCGGTCCAAGCTTAGAAATAGTAATTAAGAGTAAAAGGTCATTAACAAATTTTTGGTGAAAAAGTCTAGCAATTATAGAAAAAAAATCAAATGAGGATCAAACTGTTTATCGTTCTTTTTCATGAATATGATTTTAAACCAGTAAAAAAAGCGGTATACCAAACATATTCACCTAAAACTAAGTAATCTATACACGGTGTATGAAGCATTTTAATTTACTACTCATCAATTAAAAATAACTTAAAAAATAATAACAAATATCAAAAAAGTACATGAACATACTTTTGCTAACTGACCACCGGATTGTCCGTGGCCTAACTGCTGAAACTCATTGCATCCACAGCTGTATACTTCCCCATCAACAGTTAGAAAGACTGTATGTGCGTATCCACAAGTGATTTGTATTAATGTTGGTAGATTCCGGACATCTAATGCTTTTGGAATAAGAATCTGATAGGCATCATTTTTATCTAAAGTTAATTGCCCTTCTTCGCACGAACCCCAAGCGAACAATTCTTCTGTTGATGAAAAAACCATCAACTCGTCTTTACTCTGAAATTGAACTTTTTATATCAATCGTGGATAAAACAAAAGGATCAAATAAAACTTCTTACTACAAATCTATTTTTAGGCGGCAGCGATAGAGTGTTAAAATACGTTCAGTAGAGAGACAGTGCAACGAAGGGTATAAATTAGGTTTGGAAAGGTTAGTACCTTTCATGCACTAATAAAGGTATCTATGGGACAATAATAACGTCTACATGAACACACCTAAAGGGTAGAAAAGCAATCATATTGCTTTTTTATGTTGTGAAACAACAATCTCGGTTATTTAATGGATATAATAGAAAAAGAATTCAGGGTTTTAAAGTTAAATATACATCATTGAAGATTGATGCAGAAATCTACTGCATTCCGAGAAATGCGACAAAAACAGTATCAGCTTACAATTTACTATTTCGATTAACACCAAATGCTCTGGTACAGTTAAAGGTGAGAAGAGTCCGCTCTTCCTCTCAAAATGCTCTCACATGGCCACACGTATACAGCTACTGCATTAGATGTCTTACTCATTGCTTTCTCTTTGCGAGGGTATTGTTTATGTCGTTGGGAGGAAGAAAAGTGAATGTTCGGTGCTTTAACTGGGTTGGTGGGTACAGAGGATACATCTAATGGAGTTGGAAAACCCTGATACCAAAATAATGGTGCATATGGACCCCAGGATTCTGAGGGGACAAATGGCCTATGAACCTATTATTGGTCTCTGGCTACTATGGGACTACATCTCTTAACGTTGCTCCACTATCTTTAGACCTATATATCAAGGGCTTGAAGTGTGACCCCCACCTGCTACGATTCGAGCACCCGGACAGTATCCCAACTCTCACACAAATCAAGTGATGATTACTATTAGAAAAATTATTTCCACTTCAATTTGCATACAGACAAAACACATTTACAATCATTTGATAGCATTCGGTTTTATTTCTTTTGTACAATGGCACTTATGTGCTCCTTTTTATTCGTATTTTATCTGTTAACTTGTACGGTAGCCCGCGTATGCTGGAAACCCTGTTCTATCTAAACGATCTTAAGTAACTGACAGGTCGAATGTTGAATGCTACTAGCGAATGTGAATGCTGAACCAGACTTTCTGAAACCACGTATACTACTCAAACTAGCCACCTTCAACATCCACATACTAATGCAGGTCGGACAACAGATAGGGTTGGCTATGTCTTTAGAAAGTTTTAACATCGATGTTTGTTGTCTATCCGGGACCCATATTTGAGGTTCTAGTGAAGCACTACAAACTTGCTCTTCATTTGTCACTTCGGAATGCTTGTCCCACGTGCGTTTATCCCGGCGACCCAGTGGCATCTGAGTTTGATTTTGCTGGCGTTTCTCATAGCGCTAGAGCTAAAGCAGCACTGATCGATCAGACCCCTATTAACAGTCGGTTATGTGCTGTTAGATTAGAAAGCCCCATCAAAGCTAGGAAAAATTGGTGTGAGAAACGATGTTTTCGTTACTTTCGTCTACACCAACAGGTTGCAGCCCGTATGCGACCAAGGATGAGATTTACCACTAGTTAAGTGTTCTATGGAAAGTGCGTTCGACGCATATTATAGTACTAGCCGGGTACTTGAATGCTTATGGCAGGCATCTTGGTACAGAGTAGTCATTTAGGTGGCCGATGGGGACTTGGTGGTCGCATGTCAGACAACAGTGACTGGAACCTAGTGCAGACTACAACCTGTTTCTGGCTAGAACTAATTGCCAACATAGTCATCGACAACGTGCCACTTGGTGTCCTCCCTCTGCATCCCCAAAATGGACTCGGATTGATCACATCGTGATAGGTTACCGTTTGCGTGGTTGTGTACAAGACTACTACCCCCTTTCAGAACGCTTATCTGGACCCTGATCACGCCCTTGTTCGAGATAGTCTTATACTACGTTTCAGTGGGCAACAAATTAATCTCCATAAACGGATCAATGTCAGCAAGTTGGTTGTAGTTCCAGTTGCAACTAAATATCAAACCAAGCTAGGTTCAAGACTAGCTAAAATTCCAACGAAAAATACGAATGAGCATTGGTTGCGGTTGCACGACGCCATTAAAATGACGACTAAAATCGCTCGCAGTTTCGCGAAACACCCTGCTTATAAGCAGTCGGTTTCTACACGCTCCTTATAACTCATTGAAGCACATGGGTCTACTCCGGGTGACTTCAAATTAAACCATAAACGAAGATTGTTATAAAGATGGTAGTGACTTTCCGGTTAAGAAACTGACAGTTGTTTACAAACGTCTGGCAGTTAAAGTGTTCCAACATCATAAAATGGGTCGATGGTAGATCCTATCTTTAAAATAGATTCACGTCGTTTCTGTAACAACTACCGGGGGATAAGTCTACTTCCGATTGCGTCTAAACAATTGGTTTTCATCATACTTTATAGACTGTTCAGAACCCCAGAAAGACACGCGAGGAGCAAACCGGTTTTCGTCCTGGCCGAGGATGTATCGGCCATATGTTCACCCTCCGCCAAATATTAGAACACTGTCATTGCCAATCTATGATGAGGTCTAGAGTGGAATGTAGACTTTCAATGCTGTATTACACGTTTATTACTATACTTACAGTTACCACTTCATATATATTGAACGTAGACTAATTAATTTATATATATATCCATGCGTAATCCGACTGTTCACAATTCATAGCCTGGGCAAACTTTTCCTTATTATTTATTTCTTTGAACACATATACTGATACAAGGGGACACCAGACACATATGCGCCACACAAATCTCATTAGATTTGTGTGAGGCCTGCGATACTTACCGGGTGCCCAAACCGAAACAGGTGGTTTTCTTAGGGGGCCTAAAGGTCTGATCCACAAGGCAGTGTAGCACCATAAGGAGATGCGCTCCCATGGTAGCCGGTGACCAACGATTGGTTTATACCACATTTGTTCCTTCAGAACACTGGAGTCCATGTGGACCATTGGTTTGGAATCAGGGTTCTTCAACTCCCCTAGGTGAACTCTTCGTGTCCACCTACCCAGTTAAAGCGATGGACGTTCGCTTTTCATTCTCTCAATTTTGTAAACAACACCCCTGGTGAGAGAAGGTAGTGGGTAGGACTTCCCTGGCAGAGGCTTTATACGCGTAGCCATGTGAAAGCATTTTGAGGGGGAGAGAGAACCCTCCCCACTCTCGACCGTACCAGGGCATTTGGGGGCACTTTCCCTACACCATGAGGTCCATAAAAAGGAACAACTCTGAAATCTTTTGAACAGAGTTCACTGTAGTGACTAGTAAGCAAATACCGATTAGAGGTTACGCCAATCTATTGCTAAATACTGTGTTCAACCTATCGATTACACAATCTAAATTAGAAAAACTTGTCTCTTTAGACTGTATATAATAGACAAAGGGACACTATCTCGAAATCCTAAGTACAATCACTTATGCCTGAAACTGTAGAACTGGTAACGCATTTCACGGACGAGTTAATCAATCAGTACATGCTATACTTTTGAGAGAAATGAATTTAATAAATAATAGCTGATGTCAGCTCAAGATGAAAACCGTACAACTAACTACGAACCAAAACTTTTACAATCCCGTGTTTTTGTAAGTGCCCGAACTTTCGGTTCTAGAGAATTTGTACGTTTTGGAGAAATTTCGAGAAATGGAAAGACAACCCCGAAATTTTCACAAGTATGGGAAATTCCACTTCAGTTTTGGGAAATCCCCATAAGATTGAGTTTTTCCCAATATCACACTAGTATACGTCCAAACTTTGGGGATAACTAGGTATTTTCATAAGGCTTTGAGAAACCCAAAATTTCCATGGAATCGGGAGATAGGGTGTTTGTGAGTACGGAATATTTATACACATTAAAACTGGTTTGTGTCTGTTTTCGATGCGAAAATTATGAAGAGAGACACAATTATTTTGAAAATTTCACTATTCTCCACAGAAGTGTCAAACATACAATCTTATGATTGGTTAATACGGACTTACACTCAACCTGATTGTACCACAAAAATTAAAGCCCGCGGAGCTGACGACCTTAGGTTCCTGAATTTCAGTCTATTAACCCAGTTGATTAAAAATATTGATTTGCTGGTTTTCAAGATTGGGCCATATATCGTTGAAAGTGTTCTGTATATTCTTAAAGGCGCAAATTGTACGGAGCAATTGTACGAAGCGAAACTGATTTGTCTGCAGAATCTCAGTCGTTGAGCACACATGACAATGTTTCCTGTTTAATTCACTTTTTTCTCCAGGTAATTTTCATTTACTTAAATTGGAATTAGGAGTAGTTAATCTTTCGGCTTTACTTCTCACACTCTTTGCCAGTGTAACTAGATATTTCATACATTTAGTGTAGTCATTTGTGTTTGTAATGGCATTATCTCCTTGAGGGACCGGATTTGCGTCACGGTTACTTGTGTAGTCCTTTCAACGAGGACAAAAGTTTATTTGGGCTATAATATGGACTTTTTAACGGCCAAGTCATTGTTGGCCAGTAGTATTTGGTATACAGTGCGTATGCATAAGGTCGCCAAAACGTATATAACACATATTAATTACAGTTAAGTGCGAATAAGAATTAAGATATAAGGTGCAAAAGCACCATGACTCATACGCGAAGCATAAAAGACACTATCTTAAAAATCTAGGTCCTAAAAGTGAAAGGTGGATAGACAGATAAGACCCTCGTAACCGAATATGTAGGGGTAAATAAATTCCCAAAATCGATAGCTCTGTACGTCTTCAAAATTTGAAGTTGACCACATTAGTTTTAATGAATTAATAATAATCATATGGAGAAGCCTCATGTATGGCAGGTTTAAATTATACTACAAACAATCAAGTGATATATAATTTATGTTATGACCTTGGGTATGTCTGGTTTCGCTTCACGCGACCTATCTACCAATCCGGATACGACTTATGCGAACTTCACACTAGGCCAACCAATGACGTTCAACCGGTGTGGGCAGTCTAGCGTCCTTATTGGTCCTATGTACTACGAGCCCTTCCACTTGAGTCCAGAATACAATACCAGCTTCGAATTAGGGCAGATCAGAGCAGATCGTTTATTTCAAACATACTCGGTTTATATATCAAACAGACAGACCAATCTTCGCTCGGATATAACAATTTATTTATATGAAGTGTTTTTTCACATAAAACTGGTGGTAAGTTCCAGAATTTCGTATGGACCGCTAATAATAATTGTGCACCGGTAAATAACTCACCAAAATAAGTAGCTCTGTAAGTCTTCAACACTCGATACTGACCATATTAGTTTTAATAAACTCACCTAGCTGGAGGCGTTCAATCATGCTTTCGCACCAGATCACAAGTGGGAAGGCTGTGCTTAACACCCCCTGCAATCGCTAGCCAGATTAGATTAGACGATCCTCAATACACTGATAGCCTGTCAAATATATCTTCGAACCTTATCGCTTCTATCTTTTGATTTCACTTGGTGGGTACGATTCATGTTAGAAGGTGTTACTGGTTAAAGCGTTGTCAAACTTCAAATATCTGTGGCATCTTAAATTGGTTTAACGTGAGCGTAGACGTTAGATTCATGTCGCAATCTCAATGTTCCGATTACTCAACGCATCGCCTATAAAATGATTGTGAAATAATGTATTGAAAATCAATATAGGTAATATAGTTATCTTACAGGTATTATACTGTACTATATCCTCAGTTAACTAAGTGTTCGTACATTGGTAAAATGAGTGCAAACTATGAAGGCTTGGATTTTAGCCAAGAGGAGTATAAATCCCAACCCATCTCTATGATAATGGTATGAATTTTTAGTGTTTTTATAAAAATAACTATGGGAAAACAACAGTATTTGTATAAATAGTTATTAGTCAGGTTACTGACCGTTATAGTTTTTAGTTTCATCGCTTTGATTTGGGGGTTAGTTATGGAAAATAAAGTAGGTAGTGCTGTTTTAAATGTCCGACGTTTTTGCTGGTTCATAGTAAGTTCACGGTTGACAATGAAGACCCCAAACAAGTATTTAACGATTGTTTGACCCAAAAAGCTTCGTTTAAAAACCACTTGTTAATTCTAGTGTTGATTGTATAAAGCTACTAAACAAAGCTAAGAAGTAGTAAAAACGGTAAATTAACCAGGAAAGAAAAAAAGTAAAGCTAATCATTTGTGCCCATCTAACCTTTTAGATTTCTCGTTCTTGCCTGTCGATTCCGTGATTGTTTTGTCAGACAAAATGTCTAGCAACACATATGGTGGTTCATGATCTAGATAAGCCGGTTAAAGCACAACATTACTTACGGAGTCGATGGTTCTTTGTTTTCCTATCATGAAGTATTTAGTATTGAGATAAATTTGAAAAAAAACCTCTAATGGAGGGCTTAGCGGTGCTCTTATTTTGTTACACCTTATCGAGACGTGCGTGTAATTTCTTAGATCCTTAGGTTCATATTTAGCTCAAGATTGCTCATCAGTATTAATCGGTTTGAGTTTGGACATATTGCCACGGCAGTTGGTTGACCTAATTTTTTTAAATCAGGCTTTTTACTGTAGGTATGAGAGTTAATAAACTCACCCGGTGAACTCTGTGTCGTCCCGAAAACTAGTTCCGCTGCTGAACACTGTGAGTCAGTTTTGATAGCTATTCGTATTCTCAACATAACTAATAGTAGGAATTCTGCTCACTGAGTGTGGTTTGAGTGTGATATAAGTGCAGCCTTTAGTTGACGGTGAAACGTCCTACCATTACATTAGCCTGAGGGTGGTATGCGGTGCAACGTATTCAAATGGAGCCTAGGCGTTTAGATAAGTTGTCAAATAGTTTAGATTCAAATTGTGCTCCACTATCTGTTGTCATTTTTATAGGTGTGCCAAAAATAGTCACCCAGTTCCGTATGAAAACCTTGGCCACTGTTTCGGCTGTGATGTCTATTATCGGTATGGCTATCAGAAATGTCGTGAACCGATCTATACATGTAAACAGATAATTACAACCATTCGAACGCGATAAAGGGCCACGCCGAATACTCTCTAACCCATTTGTGTACATCCTTTTGCGAATTTGGCCATATATATCTGGCACTGAGCAGTTTGGTCGAAGCTTTTGCACCAGAATGAGACAAAGAATGAAAGTTATTAGGTATTAATTTTCGCATACTTTTGGGGACCTAAGGTCGTGGCATCACTTTGGTTATATCCCAGTAAATCAGAATACCATTAATAGGCGACGGTAACTGCTTTAGTTTGAGACTTGAGTAATTTGTTGTATGTTTCGTGATTTTTGATCCTCTTTTTGTTTGTCTCTCAACGTCTCGAAATTTACTATAGACTGTTGTATCACGTTCATTTCTAGCGAGATAATACATTTGCCGCCCGATTTTCCTGACCTTTTACATGTCGGTGTTGGACCTCTCGAGGTGAGTATGCATCACCTCTCACTTTTAGTGCATTCGTTAGTGATTTGTGATTCATAAAGACTATAGATTCCCTGCCTTCTAACATTCGTCGGAAGCGCTTAATGGTCAGTCAGATTGCAAGAAGTTCTCGCTCGAAGGTAGAATACCTTGTCTTTGCTTCCACCATCAAAACAAGAGGGGAAAGAGAATTCGGATACATCAACGCAGTTGCTCCAGCCAGTTTGACCTTTATCTGTTTAACAGCTTCAGCAGCCTCAAAAGTCAGCTTGAATTTTTTTGATTTTGCCTTAATTGAATCTGTCAAAGTTTGCATTAATTGTGCACAAACGGGTATGAATCTGTGATAAAAGTTATTTAGATTTATAAATCTTCTAAGCTGTGTTAGAGATCTGGATATTAAGTATTGTTTGATGGTGTCCATTTCTTCTTTGACTGGTGTAATCCCTTCCTGGCTTATTGTGCGCCCAAGAGATCCTAGAGTTCTAATACTGAAAACACAACTACTTTTATGTCTGTTTGTTTATATGCCCTTGTGCAAACGGCATATCCCGAGGTACATTATTCATGAATCAGTGAAATATTTATGCTGCATTCTTCAGGACGAATGGCATGCGTATAAGCTCGAACCGTTTGTGAAACTTTGGATATGCGGTATTGGGTACCTGTCTCATACTGTTTTAAGGCTGAGGGTTCTGTACGGTCGACAACAACCTTCTTCTTTTGAAACCATATGCAAAGGGGATGCCCATTAACTATCAGAGGAACAGATAATACCCACTTGTAGCATGTAGTCGAATTCAGCTCTAGCAAGTTTGAGCATATCTGGTGCTAGTCTCCTGGGACTGTTTCTCTCAATGTGTTGTCACTCGCTAAGACTTGGAGGTGACGTTAAAAATGTAACGGAGACCTCTCACCTAAAGTTCTTCCTTGAAAAAGCCTTTGAGTTCTAGTCAACCCAGTCAAATCGAAAGTCAGAAGCGAGGAGGTTTGAAGATATATTTGATAAGTTATCAATATATCGAGAAGTGACTGATATAAACTGGCTAGAGGTTGCAAGAGAACATGAGCACAGCGTTCCTACTCGTGATCTGGTGCGAATGCATGATCGAGCGCCTCCAGCTAGATGAGTCCATTAAAACTAATGTGGTCAATATCAAATGTCGAAGACATATAGAGCTATTTGTTTTGGGGATTTATTTACCATTAGAGATCACTCCCTCACTATTGGGGCAGTAATGACTCTAATATGTGGCCGGACGGAAGTTTAAACCCAACAAGTGAGTCTTTGGTAGACACTCTTCTGATAGTATGCTATGTTCAGCAGCTCCTAGTTTTTTCTTTACTATAATAGGCCATGTGGTATAATATATTAACGAAAAACAGGTATAATGGAAATTTTTGACCATCGTCAACTTCGTCGGTTTTTTCATCTTTTCCAGCCATCCTGGAAAAGAGAAAATGAATATATAAGCACATGCTGAATGATACTTGCACGTGCGTGAAGACACAGGACGGGCGAAAAAGGAAATTAAACTCACACATATGGGTTTCGTAAACATGTAATAGCGTAAAAACGATTTTCGCAGGATGAATTTTTGGGATTTATTGAATAAATATACATATAAGCAAA